TGCCATTAAGTCAATTCCTACTCATAGCAACCCCCTATTGGGTTTCTGAGGCAATAAATCTTTATGGAAGTAGATTGTGCTATCTTTCTTCCACCAAGTGGTTGGTGGGTTTGAACCACCAACCTTCTGGTTAGCACTCAAATGCCTTCATCACTGTGCCACCAGAGCTCCTCTATTACAGAATGGACATACAAAATATAAGCTTATAGATAATGCTTTTGGATATCACAGCAAAATTAAATTACAAAAGTTTCTTTAAGTTATTTCAATTCCTGAACTTATCTTGTCATAGAATAACAACGCACACTATGCAGACTGGCACCTGTCTCCAAAGCACACTTTTGAGGAGCACCACAGGGTGCTTTTGTCATTGGTAGATATTACTTTCCATCTTCAATTTTTTTTTTAATAGTCCAATTTTTTATTGTTGAAAAATATAAATAGCATGACATTTGCCAACTCAATATTTTTCAGCTCAGTGACACCAAATGCATCCATCATGTTGTACAACCTCACCAATATTCATTGCCAAATTTTCCAAATTCTCTACAGTTGTTATTGCTTTGTCTAGTCCCATTGGAGGATCTAACCTCTCTTATTGACATGTTAGTATTAGATATACAACTTATTTTCTTCTTCTGATAACTAATGAAAACATAATCTCTCCTTGGTCTCTTCCAGCTCTCTGGCTCAGTCTTCTCTTTTCTTAGGTCTTCCTTTCCCAGCTCCTTAGCTAGTGTTCCCCAGGTCTCTTTCCTTGATAACTTGCTTTTCTTCCTTTACTCACAAAGATCTTATTCATATTCCTGATTTCCACGATTATCTCTACAAATCCAGTTTCCATCTCTCTAGCCTGAAATAGGTTCTCTCACCAATTTCCTTCTCTCACATAGATGTTCCTGTTTCATTTCAAATACATTATTCTTTCAACTCAAATTACTTCACACATTTACCAAAAGTTTCTACACTGTTAGGTTCTACAGCAGATACAAATACAAGGAATACAAAGTCTCTTCTCATAGGGTACCCTATAACAAGCATGGACTTTGGATTCAGACAGAACAGGGTTAAAGCTCCACCACTGAATAACTGCATGTTATTTAGTCTTTCAAAAGATCAGTTTTCGTATGTGAAAATCTGGGTTTATACTATTATAAACCCATTTCATAGGACTACTGGTAAAATAATGAATGTGCAATCTCTGGCACACAGAAAATGCTCCATAAATGTTGCCGTTCTTATCATTATTACTAAGAACTTCTCCTAACATGATTTTTTCCTTGTATTATGTTACAAATAAATTTTTGACAGTTGATGCTCTATTTTTAGATTGGATTTATGTCAATCCATTAGTCACTTGTACTCACTATTGCTATGACAACATGCTATTCAAAATCGTTAAGAAAAGTAGAATATTGGAAAATGGCTCAGACATTTGCATATACATTAAATAAATGTGCATTGGGGATGACAGTAGGGTGAAAGGAAACAGCAGGAAAATCCATTCAATTTCCAGCACAGAATTAATTAATTAGCTGCCTCAACTGGTCAAATCATTAATCTCTCAATTTCTCAGTTTTCTAATCTGTAAAATAGAAGTGGAAGTGCCTGATCTATTTTTTTTTTTAATTTCTTAACTCTATGAGGTAAAAAAATAATAATAATTAATTCCAAACATACTATACGGTAAAATATAGTTTATGCTTGAAATTAAAAACTAATTAGTTATAAACACCTATATTATTTCAAAATAGTTTTATTCAAAGACAAAAAAAAAATCTCATGATGTTTTAAATAAAAATTGATCTATATACATATGACTTGAAATATTAAGATTCAAAAAAAAAGTATGATTTTAGGGGAAAAACGTTATTTTCAATGTACATTTTATACAGGTACCTAGCTTGGCATTCTGTTGATAAAATATACAAATACAAAATAAATCAGTCCTAGGCTAGAATAACCACTGGTTATAAATTACTATTTGTTTTAACAAGGAGCTAATGTTTCACCATTTATTATTAACAGCTACCATTGACACATACTACACTTGCCAGGACCTATGTTAAGCACTTTGTATTCATTAGCTTATTTTATCCTCACAAAGAAACCTATGAAGTAGGTTATATTTTTCCCCATTAAATAGATGAAAAACCTAAGCATCCCATTTTTTATTAACTTCCATAAAATCACTGCAGTGGGGAACAGTAAACTAGAATATAAATATCAATCTTCAAGGCTCCTAAATGCAGTTAAAAACATCACTACATAGGTAAATTCAATGCAAATTACACACACAGTTCAACAAAATAATGAAAGGAAAAAACATTAGAAGATTAGAAGAAAGACTAGAAAAGTAATGACATCCATAGAAAAAAGAATAAATGTGCTCAGCAGAATGAGGAACCCACCTTCATGACCTATGACAGATCTGGAAGCTGTCTGAAAGCTAACAATCCCTGCCACATTATCATTGGCCAAAATGTTGACTGTAATGGTGCTAGAACTTGGCAAGATTCTACTTCCGCCTTCGGTGCACACCAAACTAACAATGATGCTTTCATCGTTCTCTGGCTCAGAGTCATCCAAAATGGTTAAGACGACTGTCTTTTTTGTTTCACCTACAAAAGCAATGAATGGAATAAAAGCCAAAGTAACCAAAGTACCAACATGCCTTCACAAACATCCAAATACCATCTGTTAAAATTTCTTAAGTAAGTATATTTAAGTGTATTATAATGGTTCAATGCCATAAGAAATATTAGCACCAATATAAGGAAATTTTTCTACATTCATTTCCATATAAAAACATTAAAATTTAAACAACAGGGAATTTCATTCCAAGATGGCAGAATAAGCAGAAAGACTGCACAGACCATCTTCAACAAAGAAAAGGGAAACCAATTAAAGAAGACACAGAAGTTAATCCTGGACCTCTGAGCCTTGAAGGGAAGGATATAGAAGCGGACTAAACCCCAACTAACAAAAGAATTTGCATGAAAATACTGAAAAGGAAGCATACGGAGCTGTGGTCTGGCAGTGATCCTGAGCGATCCTGAAGGCACAGACAGTTAGAGAGTCCCAAGTGGTAGTAGGACCTAAGAATTAACCTAAAAATCAGCACTGCTAGCCAGAGACTGCACAAAGGACTGCTCTGGTGGTTACAGAATAAAAGGGGAAGCATTAGTGAAGAGGAAAGTGGACTGAGCTGTGGACTTTTGGCTGTCCGGAGGGCGCAGCCATTTTGAATGCTTACAAGCAGCTTGATCATTATGGATATTTAAAGACACAGAACTCCACCAGATTCCAGGGGCATAAGAACAGGTTCTGCTTGCCAGTAACCCAAGGACACTCCAGACCTGCACTACAGAGAAGTGGGAGACAGCAACAGTACCCATAAGATACAACTACACCCACACCTCCTGAAGCTTCACTTAATGAACAAGAACCACCACCTCCTTCTCCACCAATGGGCCAACGATAAAAAAGCCACCAAGAAGAACGTGAATCACCCTTGGCTGCTCTTCACAAACAGTTAACAGAGATCTAAATAAAACACCACAATGTCTCAGAGACAACAGAACATCACAGCCCACACAAAGAAGCAAGATAAAGTGGTAGAAACAAGGGAGCAGGATACAGACCCAGAACACATCCCTGAAGAAGCAGCAGCATTGGAACTCTCTG